TTCATATGAAGATTGAGATAATACATCATATAATATATTAAGGACACTGCCCAGCGTATAGTAGGTGCTCAATGACTGCTAGCTAGTCCTGGTGCAAGTAGAAACACAGCTCTGCCCTTGAATCTTGGACTTGACAGTAAAAGTAGCACAAATTATCTGATGACTACAATTTTTCAACTTTCTTAATAAAGTCTTTCACTTTACTTTCTCTGTACTTGTAAGAGGAGCTGCACTTAGATTCTCCAAAACAGTTTATTTGATCTGGCCCATTTGGTAAGGAATGTCTGATAAAAGTGCACTGTCTGATGCAGATGTAGTGATTGCTGTAGAAATTGGCTTTAGAATCTTCAGGGACTTCTGCAGTTGAACTGAGAAGACATCCTCATCAAGTACAGTGCTTTTAACACTTCTGGGGACTTTAAGATTCTCCACTACCACTGTTTCTTGATGACCTTCTTTGTTTTTCAGAAAACTCTCCAGGAGAGTAATACTCCACCCCATGGAGTTTTATTAGAGAGTTTTGGTGTTGGGATTTTATTCTTTGAGTCCTTTTTATTGACAGCCATGACGTTACGAGATTTTGTTTGTCAGAGGACGTCTTTTCCTTTTCTTTGGCTCTCATGGGGAATATCTGGTTTCGTGTTGTTAAAAGGCAGTGTGGTATAGACATGGCTTCAAATGTTGGCTCTATCATTTACTAGCTGGGTAGTCATAGGAAAACCATGATGCTTCTCTGTGCCTTCATTGTCTCACCCTTGAAACAGGGAAGTTGCATGATCATCTGGAATGTGCTGCACCTTTAAAAAATGTGTAACCTTGGCCAGGTGTGGTGGCTTACACCTGTAATCTCAGCAGTTTGGGAGGCCGAGGCAGGCAGATCACTTGAGGTCAGGAGTTTGAGACCAGCCTGGCCAACAAGGTGAAACCCTGTCTCTACTAAAAATACAAAAATTAGCCTGGTATGGTGGCAGGCACCTATAGTCCCAGCTACAGGCTGAGGCATGAGAATCACTTGAACCCAGGAGCCAGAGGTTGCAGTGAGCCAAGGTCGTGCCACTGCACTCCAGCCTGGGCGATGGAGCGAGACTTCATATCAAAAGACACAAAACAAACGAACAAAAAATAACAACTTTGTAACCTTGGAAAGCAAACATCCAACATGAAATGCCCACCCTCTTGTAATAATATGTAGGCTTTGTCCATTTGTAATTTTGGATGCTGTTTTATGTTATTGGCATTGTCAGGGAGCAATGAAAATCCTCTACTGCTTTCTGTTGGGTGGCACATACTTTATAACTGATGTATTCTGCCACATAGCTGTTTTCTCCTTTTTCTGTGCTTTGCTTGTTTGTATAAAGGAGGTGGCTGTGCTGTTGTACAGTTCTAGACTCTGTCTGCACTCCTATTTTTCCATCCATCTATAGTACAGCAAGGCCCAGTGCTCTGTGGATTCTTGCTTGCACGGATTCCATTACCCATTCATATTCTTTCACTAAAAGAGGCTTGCTCAAAGAATGCTGCTGGGCAAATGGTATGACAGTCTTAGTAATTTGAAAACTTCCTGCAGTATGTGTTTTCCATTATTGACAATGGTGTTCCAGAAGAATATATGGCTCTGGCAAGAGTTTGGTCAATTTTTTTTCTGCTCTTCAGGTACCTGTCTGCTAATGAAGCCATTGAGAGTGCTTTGTATGCAGTGGCTGGCACCTTTGTTGGCTCAGGGGTCCTGAACTGGGCACCTCTTTGTGGTGATACTGGTGTTAGAGACTCTGCAGCAGGTGCACAGCTGCATGCAGGACACGAGGAAGCTTGCGTGCTTCTTCCTCATCTTGAGACTCTTCTTCACATTTTCAAAATTTCTACATGGCACTGTCCAGCTTCAGTTTTCTAAATGGAATTTGGGAATGTGCCTTTCAATCAACCGTTCAGTGGATGACTTTCAGCATGCAAAAGCTCTTACCTGCAGGAAGTTGCTGTTTTGCAAGAGAGAAAACCGGTAGAAATAAAACTTTCCAACAGGACTGCATCCAGGTTAGCTAGAAATACCTGTCTAGTCATCCAGCATTTTTTCCTTCCTCTTGACGTGAGGTAGGAGATTTTGTGACAAAACCTTATATTACAAGGAATTCATGTGTGACAGGTTGTGGGAATCATGCAGCTGAAAACCAGAATTCAGATACATTTAAATTCTTGTTTATTAAGAAAGAGGCACACTCCTTTTCCTGGCTGCTTTGTAGATTTGAAGATGACAGGGAAGGAGGAATTAGGTTTCTTTATCTATTTGGCTTCAAAATCTCTGCACCTTCCCTAACTCTATCCTGTCCTGGGTCTTATTTGACCAATAAGTGCCATATTATTAATCCCTGTAAGGAACTGATTTTGATATTGTTGTCATCGTCTACTTCAGGTCCACTCCACTGAGAGACAGTCAGGAGGAGTGTAGCTTTCCTTGAGGACAGCAGTCAATAAAAGAAAACCCACATCAAAGCAAACACAAATCCTTTCTTCTGTCTCTCTCTAGGAGTCAGAAGTGATCTCTTGTTTGGCAGTTCTACTCTGCTTATTCTCAAGTTTTAGGAAATGAAAGATATTAGCTATATTAGACAGGTATAGAGGAAAATCATTCTATTGCATGATAAAGTCACAATATGTGAGTTCCTCACTGTAAACCTCTCATCAGTCTATAAAAATTCATAACCTATTATTTAAATTATTTTTAAAGAAAAAACATATTTAAATATTTACATTCTATCCCAACCTTTACTTCTCTAAGGAGACCAATATATATGAAACAATATAAAAATTATAACCCATTAGGAATTGGCTGCTAAATGCAATAGATTGATAGAAGAGTAATCAACAAGTATTTATTGAGTATCTACCATGTTCTCAACTATGCCAGATAAAGCAGAAGACAGGGTCCTGCCCTCAGGTTGCTTATAATCTGTATCATGTGAAACATCAGAGCTGATGCATTATGAAATATAATGGCATGGTAAACCGTGCAGCACAGATTCTGTGGAAGTTTGGAAGAGAGAAACTTCCCCAAAGGGTAGAATGGTAGGGATTTTAAGTCTTCAGCTAGAAGGAGAGGAAAATTGTAAGGAAGAAGAAAAGGTCATGGCAAAAGCATAAAGGGTTCACATCACACAAGCCAGTGAAAACAGTCAAACTAATCCAGGAGGGGTGAGAATCTAAATTGGGTGGAGAGAGTACCTTAGCAGCTTTAAAAGCTACAGAGTTTCATTTCAAACTATAGACTACAGGGAATCGCTCATGGTTTTTACAAGGGAAGTGGTATGATGAAAGCAATGTTTCATGAGGACTAGCTGAGCAGCCACATTTAGAATAGAAAGAAGGGGAAGAATGTGGAGGCAGGGAATGCAAGCAAAAATACTGTGTAGCAAAAAGCAGGGCTTAAAAGCTGAGCTATGAAAGTAGGGGAAGAAATGGAAAGGGGGTAGATGTAGCAGATATTGCCAAGGAGAACTGACTATACTTGGTGACTGACTTCATCTAGAATGGGAGGAAGAAGGCTATGTCAAGAAGAACTCCAAAGTCTTTGGTCTTATGATCTTCAAGATCATAAGAACTGATGGGGGAAGATGAATCTGTTTTTATTCCAGTTCGGTTTGAGGTGACAGAGGCACAGCTAAGGAAAATGTTCAGCAGGGTGCTGGAAATGCAAAAACCTGAGCTGTAGCTCTGTATACTTAGGAAAGCATGAATCACTCAGATGTGTCAAGTAGGGGTGAGGAAACTCATGCAATCTCTGGAATGCAGGAGGTGAGGTCATCTTCAAAGGGAGAGTAGCAAAGAAAGAGAGATGTTTTGGAATAGCCATCGGGAGGATAATGACTATGGCCCAGCTGAACGGGCCCAGGTACGCATAGTTCTGTGACTTTCTCCAGCCAAGCCTTGCCTTCCCAGGGATGGACAAAGACATTCCAGTGGTAGAATGTCATTTGCTGGTGATGAGGATAAGGGGAATCTGGTGGGGGGGGGGGGGTTAAGGAGGTTCCAGAAGGTCCAGGAGAGGATAAAGGAATTATGGCAGAGAGGGGAAAGCAAATTATTATTAGAGATCAGAGCATGCTAAATTGCAAAGGGAGGTTGTGATCCCTTCATAGCGATGGAGGGCACAGGCAAGGAAGGGAGGCCAGTCACGTGCAGCTGTGTCTCAGAGGACATGTCTGTGGACCAGGGGTAGCGCCTTCATCTTGACTCGATTTGTCTCCCACCCTCCAGGCTCTAGCTGATAGAGCCCTCCAGGGACAGAGAAGTCCAGCAGCTGGAGGGAGAGCAGATTTTGCTCATTGGAACTTTATCTGATCTACTTGCATTGTTGGCTCAAAGCTCCTGATTCACTTCAGGGTGGTTTTCTATCATTTAAATGCCATAAACACTAACAGCAAAATAGCCCACTGGCTGGCCCCCTGCTCTCCACACCTGCCAGGCCCAGCACCTGCAGCTCCACTTGGAGAGGAGAAGGAATAGCCATCAGCCCCTATAGGAGTGATGGTGGGGTGCCATCCAAGCCTGAAGGAAAGATGAGGTGTTAGGGAGACAAAAGATAAGCAAGATGGTAGAGGTCCATTTGGCTACTGGAGAGACCACAGCTGAATATCTTGCTGAGAAGGAGGAGTAAAACCAGGTCATCTCCCTCCCATCTCCATCTGGATTTGGAATGCAGAGACACAGGCAAAGGCAGATACACACACACACGCTCACGCACACACAAATGCACAGAGACACAAACAGCTATACAAAACAGAGATGCGTACACACAGCTGATCATAGACATGTAGCTAACATGCTTAGACACATGCAAAGGCACACTTGGACCTGCTCGTTCAGGTGTAGAGCTGCACACGCATCCCCACACGCCTGCACAGAGTTCTTTCCTCTCCAAGAGTTTCCTCTCCATGCAGTACCCTGGTGTGAGTAGAGGCAGGCCCCTCTCTTCCAGGCCTCACCCCTTCCCCTTTGTGTTTTTCCAGGTCGTGACATGGCGAGCACCACTCTGCCTGGTTACCCCCCTCACGTGCCCCCCACTGGCCAGGGAAGCTACCCCACCTCCACCCTGGCAGGAATGGTGCCTGGTAGGTGACAATGCCGCAGCTGCCTAATCTAGGTGGGGGAAACTAAATTGTGGGTGAGCTGCTGAATGGTCTGTAGTCTGAGGCTGGGGTGGGGGGAGACCCAATGTCCCCTCCCTGCAAACCACTGCTATTCTGTCCCTCTCTCTCCCTAGAGGCTGCAGTCGGTCCCTCATCCTCCCTCATGAGCAACCTGGGGAGGAGGCTTGCAGAAGTGCCCCCTTGTGTGCAACCCACTGTATGTCATGGCCCCTCCACAGCACCCACCCACCCTCCCTGCAAACCACTGCTATTCTGTCCCTCTCTCTCCCTAGAGGCTGCAGTCGGTTCCTCAACCTCCCTCATGAGCAACCTGGGGAGGAAGCTTGCAGAAGTGCCCCCTTGTGTGCAACCCACTGTATGTCATGCCCCTCCACAGCACCCACCCACCCGAGCCTGTGCCCAAGGAGCACTCAGCCTCAGCTCCACCCTCGGTGCCCAGCCCACCCCAGCCTGCTGACACTGCTTGGAAGCGCCTGCCCTGGTTTCCATGGAAACTTGGAGCCAAGAACCATTTCCAGGGGCATGTCAGTCACTCAGACAAAGCCACCCTGGTCCACACCAAGCCACAAGGGAAGATCAATGTTGAGAACCAATCCCAACCCAGAGAGAGGAGGGAGCTAGGCCATTAAGAGCAAAGGAGACCAGGATGTGGCAGGAACCAGGGAGACTCTGGCTAGAACACCCCCATACCTCTTCAGAGGCACCCAGCCTTCCATTGCTCCTCTGGGGCTCTAACCCATCCCTTGTCAGAGGGGTTGGGTTTGGGTTGTTTGGATCAGAGAGGCAGAGGCAGTATTTAAGGTCTGGTGATTGCAGCTGGAGGCTGTGCTGTACTCAACCCCTCACCCCAGACTGGGAGCAGAGGCTTGAAGCCAAAGAGAGCTGAAGTTCCTCTGTGCACAAACACCGACACTCTTGTCTTCAGGAGGGTTAGACTCACTCAGTCAGCAACTCACTCCCTCTGGCCACCCTCTGCAAGGCCTTTCACTGAAGTTCAACTCTCATTGTTGGGGGAAAGGGGGAGGATAGAAGAGAGTGGTTGGCCCATCCATCCAGGGGCATTTAGGGACAGCCTTGGGTAAGCAGAGCTTGGGGTGGGGGCAATGGCAAAGAGGGAGATTGCTGCTGGGTCTTATGGACTAGGGGCTGGAGGGAGATAGAGGTGTAAAAGGATTCCTGCCCAGATTTAGGGGAAGGGAAGTAGAAGCCTTGTTGGGGGGCAAGGAGATTTTAGGGAGATGCTCCCAGCAGTGAGCAGGTGCCGGCTGGAGGAGGTCTTAAAGAGGTGGGGGTGAGGGAAGAGTGGGGAGGTGGAAGCAGGGAGTCTGCAGGGAGGTGGAGAAGAGGGGAGCCGCAGAGAGCTCATGGTGGCGAGGGGGGAGTCGTTAAACAGAATCTAGTGCTGATGAGGAAATTACACTTGTTTCATTAGCGATGGGGAAGGAGATAGCTCAGTTCCTCTTGGTCACAGTTGAGCTCAGAAGCTCATTATCCTGCTGCACGCATGCTTTCCCTCCTCGTCAATAAACAGGCTTTCCAGTGGCTGCATCCCCCACCCCCACCCCAGCTCCCTCTCAGAGAGGGGCCCCTTCTCCTCTACTTAACCCGCGGTTAGGGATCACTGTAAACAGTCTGGGGTCATCACACAGGAGAAAGGGCGAGGGGGAAACCCGGAGGCCTGGCCTTTCTCCCGCAGAGGGAGGGAGGCAGCTTCCGAAGGCTCCCAGCCCACGGGCCCTCCGCTCACCGCTCTTGGACCAGCGGGCAGTCCACCTGCTTCCCAGCTCCTCCATCCACTGCCGCGTGGCCCACTCATCCAGCCTCCTGAGGGAAAGGTGGGAGGGCAGTGTCTCCCAACAGAGACCCCACCCCTTGCATTGGCACTGGGCATTAGTGCCATTCTTAGGACTTTCTGAGGGAAAAGTGTCCCGAAGGCCTTTCTTCGCCACTGCCCCCACCCCCGCTTCCACCCATTGGGGGTCACGCCCCCTAGAACCCGAGTGGCCTCTATAAAGGCCACCCTGGCTCACAGCGCAACGGGGTGGACGCGCCCCAGTACAAACCCATCGAGGGTGGTCGCTAGCGCCTCCGCTGGGAAGCCCCAAGCGGGCACTGGCCCACAGGTCCCGTCCTTGGGTGTGCGAGCGCGTTGGTGCCTCCCATCTCCCCGGGCTCTCCCCACACGGAGGCAGTGACCGTCCCACCTCCTCCCGGCACGCCCGCCACGGCCATTAACCCGCCCGCGACACCTGCGCCTGAGACCCGGAGGGAGGAGCGGGCGGAGAAGCCACGGGCCGGACTCACGGGGTCCACCCGGGTGTGCGCGCGTCTGATCCCCACTCCCCTACCCTCTCGCAGGGAGCGAGTTCTCCGGCAACCCGTACAGCCACCCCCAGTACACGGCCTACAACGAGGCTTGGAGATTCAGCAACCCCGCCTTACTAAGTGAGTACGCCACCTGGCTGGCCGGCGGCTCAGCGCGGCCGCGCGGCTTCCGGGCACCGTCCCACTCCTGGCGACCAGTCCTCTGGGGGCCTGGCATGGCCAGGCGGACAGGCTTGTTAGTGCAGCACTGAGGCCCGGGGACCCCTCGAGGACGCCCGCACCTCCTGCCCTCCTGCCCTCCTGTGCCCTCCCCGGTCGCTCCACGGTTCTGCGCCGCCCTCGCCCTCGGACCCCCTGGAGGGTGCGCAGCCGGGTGTCACCGGATCGGGTCCCTCTCAAGCCCCGTGAATGCTACTGTTCTCCGGGGCAACGGGCTTCACCGCCCAGCCAAGGTTTCCCAGTCCGCATCCCGCTGGACCCCAGCCAGGGGAGGTCTTTTCTTTGCTTTTCTTTCCTTTTTTGTTCTCCTGTTTGTCCTCTCACCCAGCCCATTCTTCTCCTGTGTTAACTTCCAGGTTCCCCTTATTATTATAGTGCCGCCCCCCGGGGCTCCGCCCCTGCCGCTGCTGCCGCTGCCTATGACCGCCACTAGTTACCGCGGGGACCACATCAAGCTTCAGGCCGACAGCTTCGGCCTCCACATCGTCCCGGTCTGACCCCACCCCGGAGGGAGGGAGGACCGACGCGACGCGAAGCCTCCCGGCCACCGCCCCAGCCTGACCCCCATCCCAGGACCCCTGCAACCCTTCACATCACCCCCTCGAAGGCCGGACAGGACGGGTGGAGCCGCAGGCGGGACCCTCAGGACCGGGCCCGCGGCCCCCAGCCCCGCCCGCCGCCCCTCCCCGCCTGCCTGGACTGCGCGGCGCCGCGAGGGGAACTCGGCCCAGCTCGCCCCCCGCCTCCCGCGAGCGAGCCCCGGAGCCCTTCAGCCACCTCATGGGACTAGGGCGCGACCCGCTGGCGCGCGCCGGATGTTTCTGTGACACACAATCAGCGCGGACCGCAGCGCCGCCCAGCCGGGACACCCGCCTCGGACTCTCGGGCGCCGGGAGGTTGGAGGGGCTGGGCAAAGGAGATTAAGAACAAAACGATTTTCTGCATAAGGAGGAAGAACCCCCTGCCGAATCCTTGGGGAAAATTATTTACCCCCAGTGCCAGCCGGACTGCCCCCGCCTTCTGTGTGTGCCCTGCCGCAGAAAGTGGAATGTGGGCGTGGGGGTCCGGCGCTAGGAACGGGCTTTGGGGGCGTCAGGTCTTTCCAAGGTTGGGACCCCAGGAGGGCGGGCCCCAGCAGCCAGCACCGACCGAGCCCGACTCTCCGCTCTTCGCCGCTCCGCCTGGACTACCTAGTTCCCCAAGGCCCGACACCTGCTGCTGCGTGACCCGGCTTTCAACCCTGCCTTGCCCCTACCTCAGCGTCTCTTCCACCTGCTGGCCTCCCAGTTTCCCCTCCTGCCAGTCCTTCGCCCGTCCCTCGACGCCCTGCATCCTCCGCCCTAACTCACAGCCCGATCGGACGCTCCCCCCGGCCCGCCGCAGGACCAGTGTCCACAGGCCGCGGACTGGGCTCTTCCTCCGGCAGTTACTTGATGCCCCCTCCCCCGACACAGACTCAATCTGCGGGTGGAGAGAGCCGGTTCTGAGCTGGTGTCTGAGCTGCTGCGGGGTGGAAGTTGGGGGCTGCCCACTCCACTCCTCCCACCTCTTCCAACCTCCGCCTCTGGCAGGAGCTGAACAGAACCACAAAAAGTCTACATTTATTTAATATGATGGTCTTTGCAAAAAGGAACAAAACACCACAAAAGCCCACCAGGCTGCTGCTTTGTAGAAAGACGGTGTGTGTTGTGTGAAGGCGAACCCCGGTGTACATAAGCCCTCCCCCTCCGCCCCGCCCCGCCGCGCCCGACCCCGTAGAGTCCCTGTCGCCCACCGACCCTGCCTGTAGATACGCCCCGCTGTCTGTGCTGTGAGAGTCGCCGCTCGCTGGGGGGGGAGGGGGGGACACAGCTACACGCCCACTAAAGCACAGCACGTCCCGGGGGAGGGGGTCATTTTTTATGTTACAAAAAAAAAAATTACGAAAGAAAAGAAATCTCTATGCAAAATGACGAATATGGTCCTGTGGACTCCTCTGGCCTGTTTTGTTGGCTCTTTCTCTGTAATTCCGTGTTTTCGCTTTTTCCTCCCTGCCCGTCTCTCCCCCTGCCCCTCTCTCCTCTCCGCTTATCTCGCCCTCTGTCTCTGTCTCTCTCCGTCTCTGTCGCTCGTCTCTCTGTCTCTGCTTCTTCCTCGGCTTCTCTTCCCAGCCCCGGCCAGGCCGCCCTGGCCCCGCAGGCTGGATCCGAGGTGGCAGCTCCAGCCCCCGGGCTCGCCCCCTCGCGGCCGAGCCCCGCGCGCCCCCGGCGGCCAAAGGCCGGGCAGTCCCTCCCCACCCCGCCCCGTAGTTGCTCTTTCGGTAGTGGCGATGCGCCCTGCATGTCTCCTCACCCGTGGATCGTGACGACTCGAAATAACAGAAACAAAGTCAATAAAAGTGAAAATAAATAAATAAAAATCCTTGAACAAATCCGAAAAGGCTTGGAGTCCTCGCCCAGATCTCTCTCCCCTTCGAGCCTTTTTATTTGAAAAGGAAAAAGAGAAAAGAGAATCGTTTAAGGGAACCCGGCGCCCAGCCAGCTCCAGTGGCCCCAACCGGGCGGCGAGGGCGCCGAGGTCCTGCCCATCCCAGTCCTGTGAGGCTGGCCGGGCAGAGGCCCCGGACCCAGCCCAGGCTAACCTGTGAAAGGTCACCGGACGGTTCTGGTCTCCTCGGCCACTTTCAGCGCGTCGGTTCGTTTTGATTCTTTTTCTTTTGTGCACATAAGAAATAAATAATAATAATAAATAATAAAATTTTGTATGTCACTCCCCATGGCTCCAGATTTGTCTCTCGCTGGCTCTGGGATAGGCCTCCCCTCCACTGGTCGATCCCCAAAAGCCCCTTCAATGATCCTCCCAACTACACTCCCCCTGCGACCTCCAACTCCTTTGCCCTGACCCCCTTGGCGGCAGCTGAATCACCGCAAAGGCCGAGACGAGCCTGCCCTTTACTAGCCACCCTCCCCCATGCACCCTGGTCCCGGGGACAGTACGTTCTTACTCTCCGAAACTTCAAAATAACCCCGACTTAGGCGCCTATCCTAGGCTGACTCTGTGGTCCTACCAGTCCACCCGCACCCAGATTAGGGTGCTGGCTCTCAGAACCCGACGTCTGAGGCCCTCTCCACGGGGGTGGCCCTCTGTCCTATCTCCTCCCTCGGTTCCCCATCTGGTGCAGTTGCGCATAGGCCGCAGGAGCAATTTTATCTTATGGGTCGGCAAGGAGACGCGGAGACTGCTGACGCTTGCCGCGTTTGCACGCTCTGCATTTAATTCTGGGCCCGGAGAGTGCCCCGCAGAGGCCCGGGGAGCTGGTTCCTGGGACCTCAAGCGCCTCCAGTGTCTCGCAGAGCCCCGGGCCCCAGCAAGCAGCGACTGAAATTGATGCGCTAGTGCGGTGGTCTGGGTGTGTCCCCGAGAGGGCGCGCAGGCGCCTATGTCTGTCAGGGTGCGGTCGTATACTTCCTGCATACGTATAGCTTTCTGTTCATCAATGTGTTCCTCTATATGTCCCTGGGTGGGTCTGGGTGTGTGGTAGCAGGAGAATTGTTTTTTTAACCATCCTTGATGTTCTTGTGACCAGATGTCCAGTGAAAGATCTGTATGTCTCCACCTCTCTGTTCTCTGTTTGGGTGGGGTTGTGGGGCGGATGGGGATGTGCTGTCTGTCTAAGATTGTTCTGCTGCATCAGAGATACTTGGGAGGCTCTCCTTTCCATCCCTTCAGCAGCTTCCCCACTCTGGCCCTCCCACACTCTTGCCAACACCAAGGCCCCAGCTTCCACCTGGAAACTTTCCTTCTGGGCCCCTCGGACACCTTCCCAGCTTAGCTTCCATCACAGCTTCCTCCCACTTAAAAGGTTCTTGAATCTCTGAGTTGCCGGAGATGCAAGCAGGATGTTGGGGCAGACTAAGAAATTACCTTCCCCTTTGGCTTGGGACAGTGTCTCCCAGACACCTCCTTCCCACCAGAATCCCAGAGACCTTTATTTCAAGCCAATCTGCAGAGCCTCACTCATATCATGGCACCTCTGGGGAATGTACAGGACCCCCAACAAATTGGCAAACCCTCAATCAAGTGCATTCCCTTTCCCCCCACTCTGCACCTGTGTCTCCTCCCTCTTCCCCATCTCAGCAAATGGCAGTTGCATCCTCCACCCTGCCTGATGTCGGCTCTCTTGACCACCAGCCTCCTAGAAGAGTGGCCTTCAAAATTCTTTAGTCATACACCCTCTCAGCCAAAAGAATTCTGAATGCATACTCCCAATATAAGTATATTTACTGATTTACAAATTCCATAAATATACTATATTATGAATCTTATAAAAGATAAAATAGAAAAAGAACGAGATTGGGATACATACAAATAGAAGTTCTAATGTTCTCACACCGAAATGGATTACCTTGCACTCCCTGGAAGATATGCACCCCACTTTGGAGATCCTACTCAGAACCCATGAAAACCTAGCATGGCAGAACGTTTGACTATTGCCTGGTGCCCAGTGAGTATGTTTCTGGAAGTTTCCAGGGCACTGGGTTGGGCCAGGGCAGCCCAGTGAACGCTGCCCATCATATATAGTGAGTACCAGACCCCCAGGGCCTGGCTTTGCCTCCAGGTCCACTCCGGACGGGGAGCCCTGCCCTGCCCAATCCATCAGATTGGGAGCCAGGGCCTCTTGTGTGGGTCTCAATGGAACCTCTTCAGTTCTATTTCTGGTCTCTCTCATAATGAATTGGACAGCAAACATTCCACTGTTTACAGTAAGCACCTCTACCTAGAAGCTTCATTCGGTGTCCCTCCTGGAGTGCTGATTTCAGTTTTTAATCAGCCCAAGGGCCCCAAAACATGATCTATATCATCCTTGGCCAGTTGCCTATTCTAACTGCATCCCCAGTCACCCACCACAGACACCCACAAGAGGGCTTGTTCTCCTGTTTCAGTTTGTTTTCTCCAGCAGTCATTTTGATTCTGCTGGCTCTGTCCTCATCCCACCCCTACAGAGTTCCCAGCTGAGACGCACCAAGTATGACAGTTAGAAACAGAAGAACCGACGTGTCCTGGGTTGAGGGAACAGCAGGAGCAAAGACATGAAGGCATGAAAATACGCCAGCTACAATGTGGCTGGAGTATAAAGTGCCAGGGGAGGGGTGGGGTGGAGGGAGGTGGCAGGAGATGAAGTTGCAAAGGTAATCGGAACACTGTGGTGGACATGCCAAAATGGTACCTGTCACACACACAGCCCCTTTAAGGAAGCTGCCCTACCCACAGTCACCTCCTGCCCATATAGACAACATATTTGTACCAGTGACTCTGTTACTGCTACAGAATTGGATTCAAACACAAATCCACGCTGAACCAATCAATCCTCTTCTCTCAGAAAAAGCAAACAAGGAAGTATGCAAAGAATGAGGCCATTAACCATGAAAAGCCCAAAGGAGGCCTTGAGGGAATCCCCCAGTCCTCCTCATCTAAAGGAGAGCTCCATTCTACCAGTCACTCAAGCCCGAAACCCACATCTTCCCTGACTCCTCCCTCCTGTCTTCTGCATCCCACATCTCATCCGTCAGCAAAACCAGACAGTTCTACCTTTAAAATCGATCCAGAACATGACCTCTTCCAACTACCTGCACCAGACAATCCCAGATCAAGACACCCTGGTCCTTCACCTGAACTTGCAAACAGAAAGTTCCAATTGGCCTTCCTGCTTCCATCTTTGCTTCCCTCCAGCAGCCAGAATGATCTCCCAGAATGTACGGCAATTCATGTCCCTCCTCTGCTTCCTTCGGTGGCTCCCCATCTCTCTCAGCATCAAAGTCAAAATCCCTCCCCATCCCTACTATCACCTTAAAACTTACCTTCCATCACCTCCCTCTGCTCACTGTTCTCTGAGCCTGATGGTAGGAGACCTCAATCTTGTGAAGAGGAGGATGACCCACAGAGAGTAGCTGAGTCGCTAATGAGGAGGACTGAGAGGGCAGATACATTCCTGCCTCTCCTGCAGCCCAGAGGATGGAGACTCCACCAGCACTGAACTCGTCAAATAATTCCCACCGTTCTTTAGGGTGACTGTCTGTTCCTTATGACCCAAAGCACCTCCCACAGTCCCGGTGGGGGGGCATCAAGAGTGCATCCCTCCTTCCATTCGGAAATTGCCCCCTACCATCCTGTGTAGTTGTTGTGGAACTGTCAATCACAGTGCCCCATCAGCTCCTACCTAGATTTGGGCTTGTGATGCACCTCTGGCCAATGAGGACCCCATGTTCCTGGCCACAGCACAGAGATCAAAAGTTAGAAACTGTAGGAGTTCTCTCGGGAGCATTGTTATGGAGTCACAAGAGGGGTTTTCGGCCGGTGAGCTGCGATGATGAGGGCTTAGGACTTCACTATGTGGAGAATACCTGCCTGAGGGCGTCATGCTCCGAGTCAAGCAGAGACCAGCAGAACTGAGAGGCAGAGGAAAGAAAAAAATAAACCAACAATGGTGCTATCATTCGAACCTCTGGAGCCAGCTAGGCCTGAAGCAAGCCCCATTTTCAGATTTTCAGGGCCAACATTCAATACCTTCTCTCTTTTTTTGGCTTAAGCAAATGTGTTGGAGCTGTCATTTGCAACCAAAAAAATTCTGATTTAAACAGTTCTGAAAACATACATGCCCTGTTAAGAGCTTTGGGTTTTTTTCCCATCCTGAAGGCAATGAGAGCTATGGAAAGTTTTTGAGCAAGAGAGAACAGCTTAATAAGTCTACATTTTTGGAAGAGTGCTCTACTCATAATGAAGAAGTGGGATACAAGGAAAGACGGTGGGTGCAGGGAGAACTGTACAAGACCGCTACCATGGTCCAGGCAAGAGATAATGGGAATCTATGCTAATGATTAGATTCGCTCCTGAAGGAAACTGACAAGGAAGCACGGTACAGTTTTATTTTAAAAAAGAAAGACAAGTGCAGATCAGAGGACATGCTATATGAGAAAGACAAAATAAGAATCTTTCTTGCATTTGCTTATATACACATAAACAGAAAGAGAAAATGTTTGTCTCTGAGCTGGGAACAATGTGGATGGGGACAAGGCAAGTATACTCATTTCCGTGACTATAATTTTTTAAAATCTAATTTTGACTTTAAGGAAAAATAAAATTTCAATTAAGAAAGGTACAGAGACAATCAGCTTCTTGACACATAAGCATAATGAATAAACCAAATTTGGCTCTTCGTGATGTTCTGTGACTGAGAGAAAGGCCATTTGATTGGAGAATAGCAGACACCTGCTGACCTCCAAGTTAGCGTTTTCTGCAGATGGAAGTGGGGTGTATAGATAAAACATAAGGATGTAGAAAGGGGCAGAGTGTAGCCAATTCTTCTGAAATGTCTGGAAGGGAGGAGAACAGGAGAGGGGCCTGGAGATGGAGTGGTCTGTGAGCTCAAGAGAAGGTTCTTTCTGGACAAGGGCTATGTGGACAAGCCCGTGGCTGAGCCAGACGGTAGGGGGCAGGCGTATGAAGAGAAGCTGCTCATGAGGGACACAAAGGGCCTGAAAGAATGGGATGGAGGCATGTGGGGAAGGGTGAGGAGGAACCAGAGAATTCTGCTTGGGGAAGGAAGGTCTTAAAGGGATGGAGTCCACCAGATTTGCTCAGAGAGACTATAGGAGCCACAGCTGCTGTCTGCTGAGAGTGAGGGGAGCAGGACTGGATCCAGCCTTTATTGGGGTAGAAAATTTTGGAAGAATCTCTTCTGGGGATTCAGAAGGAAGTTGTGAGAGCAGTAG